GGCGGGTCCGGGCTGGGGATTCGAACCCGCCACCTTAGGTGTACGTGGCTGGCGCCTTAGCCGGGTGAGCTATAGGCGCCGAGCCTTTTTTTTTTTTTTTTAAGAGATGGGGGCCTCACTCTGTTACCCAGGCTAGGGTGCAATGGCGCTTTGAGAGCTCACTGTAACCTGTCTAACTCCTGGGCTCAAGAGATCCATCCTCCTGCCACCACCTCCTGAGCAGCTAGGACTACAGACTCCACCACCATACCCATCTAATCCTTTAATTTTTTTTTTTTTTTTGTGGAGCAGGAAGGGTCTTGCTATGTTGCCAACATTGGTCTTGAAACTCCTAGACTCAAGTGATCCTCCTGCCTCAGTCTTCCAAAGTAACGGGATTTATACAGAAGTGAGCTGCTATGCCTGGCTTTAAATTCTTAAATATGATTAAGACAAGAAAAACAGGAAAAAGAGGTCCTATTTTGCCTACCAGTGGCCATTCTCAAAAAGTCAAGTCATTTGGCTTATTTCTTCTTACAAGTGCATGTATTTAAAATATTAGTACTTTGGAATGGTCAGTGGCATTTCAGCAGAGTCACAGGATATAACTATTTCTTTAAGATTTTATTTTGGTCTTATTTCTTTTTCTTTTTGTTTTTTGAGACAGAGTCTCAAGCTGTTACCCTGGGTAGGGTGCTGTAGCATCACAGTTCACAACAACCTCAAACTCTTGGGCTTAAGCAATTCTCTTGCTTCAGCCTCCCAAGTAGCTGGGACTACAGGTACCTGCCACAAAGCCTGGCTATTTTTTGGTTGCAGTTGTCATTGTTCTTTGGCAGACTCAGGCTGGGTTTGAACTGGCCAGCTCTGGGTCTATGTGGCTGGAGCCCTAACCGCTTGAGCTACAGACACTGAGCCTTATTTCTAATAACAATTAAAATGTTAGAACAATTTCATAACTATGTTAGACTTTTAATTCCAAATTAATATATTAATGACAGCCTTTAGGAAAATATATCTACTGAACCCATTAGTGAACATTTCCCCCATTAAAAAAATTCCAGCTACTTTTTTTTCACATTTGATATTGGCTTTACTAACAAAAATCATCACCTACAGATGAAAATGACTTCATTCTCAAGCCAAATATTTCCAAAGTAGCTTTGACAACTTGTATTTTTAAATAACACAATGCCCTCATTAAAAATGAAGAATCTTTTTGAAACCCACCAAATGTTAAGCCTGCATATTATCCTTCAAGATTTAACACAGTAAGCAAATTTAATTTTTATAGGTTTTTCTCCAAACACTTTTCTTTAAAACAAAACCTAAGTGTAGAGAACCACTGTCAAATTAAAATCCATATTTTGGTTATCTAGCAGCAAAGAATATTCAAAAGATAACATATCAGAGATTCTGGGTTCTGGGTATTAGTTCTGCCACTAAATAATAAAGTGATCTATTTATATCTTCATTTTTCTCATTAGTAAACAAAGGGAAACTGGAATGTCTTTAAGTTGCCATGTCAACTCCTAAGTATGTCAAAATTCTTTTGGTGAAATTTTTAGCTACTTGAAAATAGGAACAGAAGACTGATTTAGTACCCCCTTACCACAAAATCACTCCTTTGTCAATGCTTGGGTGTTATTTTCTTCCAAAATAAATAAAAGATAAATATATAAAAGGAAACATATTTAGTGTTGGTGCATCTTCTAATCAGACACTATTAACCATTTCTTTTAAAATTAAATTACCTACCTCACTGGGGTGTTGTGAGGATTAATTCATTAGTGTTTGTAAAGCACTTTGAGATCCTCAGGTCAAAGGCGCTATAGAAGTGCAAAGTAGTAGTATTATTACTAGATTCTTTGCTTATGTAAGGAATTTCACAATCCTTTAAAATCTAACTCTGTGTAATGATTTAGACAACTATTGGTAAACCCCTGCAATTTATCTACACTATTTTCTGAATATATTATAGTCAGGGGCAGATGTTTCAAAAAAAAATAGTTTTAAAGGTTGAACTCTGATCTACCAATGGAAGGAGAGAGTACGAAAAAAACCCAGAGTGACAAATCTTGTCTAGCATAAAATTTTGGTGAGAAATCTGGTCAGTCAGATTTAGAAGTGTGCCTAAATTGTAAGAAAAACAAAACAAAAATCCACTTTTTAATAAGATTCTCTAATTTTCTCTTTCTTCAAGAGAAGAGGAAACAATTTCCAATCAACTCACTTTAAAAGCTAGCACTGCACTTATAAATTATATTACATGCACTTTACATGCAACTGTTATTTAAACCTGTGTATTTAAATCACTGTAAACAGTATTAGTATGAACTGACATCAAAATAACTGAGCTGCCTTTTCTTTAAACTAGCCTCCCACCTCCAATTACACAAAGCAAACTAAGTATTGAGGTTAAAATGACTTTGGCTTGGAGTTTTAAGAGAAAAATTATAACCAAGGGCCGTATTTAAAATCTTGGATTATTCTATTATTTTCCACCCCCTTCTCTAACCAAATCTCTTTACAATAAAATGTGTTTTAAAACCAAAACAGCACACACACATACACACATGCAAACACACAAAGCTTAGAGAACCAGAGCTATCTCTGTATCAGACGTTCTACTCAATAAACACACACTTCTTTAAAAAAAAATCCCAACATTCTCTGATGAGATTCTCCCAGTAAAACACAAGCTCTAAGTTCCCCAAATCAAACTGAAATTCACATATTAAATTTTAAACACTTACCTCCTGCTCCTGTTGAAAGATGACAACTCTACCACCTTTATCTCCTGTTGCTAGTAATTCTCCAGAATGATTAAATTCTACTGTAGAAATTATATCTGCTGTATAATTGAAACAAAACCAAAAAAAGACATTAGTTTTTCTTTCCCAATTCACTAGTTTCAGAACTTAGAATGTTTTTCCTAACAATCAATATCAAACCACCAGCAGAAAAAAGGTAAATGGAAAGTTCTTTTAAAAGCATTTTGATCCACCAAAAAAAGGTCCCCAGAAAGAAACTACTTTAATAGGAACAAATACAGGTTTATTAATATTTCACTAAATTCATGAATGCAAAGAAATCAACAATTTGCAAAATATTCTATTTATTACAGCTAACTATCTTTCTCATACTGAGATGAGACAATTAAGTTCTTGAACTCATTCTAGAAAAAGCTACATACCTCACTGCTGAATAAGGTCACTAGTCACCTTTGAGGTCCTTCCCTTGGAAAGCTATGCACCAATGCTTAGCACACCCTTCAAAGCACTTTTCTAGGGTAAGCTCACAAACTTAACTGTACAACCTTGTACACTTTATCTTTTCCCTACGTCTAACTTGTTACATTCATCTAAATTTAAAAAAAATTATAGCTCCTTGTTAGGTAGACGAGCCAATTACAATGAACAATAAAAATATCAAGGATCATAGGTTCTCTGCTGAGCAGCAGGAAAAACTAGGTGAGTAGGTTTGGTATAGGATGGGCTCAATATCTAATAAAGGAAAAAACTTTTATCTTTTTTAGGTGAAGACACAAAAGATTTAGATGAACTTAAAGATGATTAAGTCAGTAAGAAGAGGAGCAGTGCATGTGGCTCAGTGAGTAGGGTGCTGGCCCCATATACCAAGGGTGGCAGGTTCAAACCACACTTCGGCCAAACAACAACAAAAAAATAGCTGGGCGTTGGGGCAGGTGTCTGTAGTCCCAGCTACTCGGGAGGCTGAGGCAAGAGAATCGCCTAAGCCCAGGAGTTAGAGGTTGCTGTGAGCTGTGATGCCACAGCACTCTACCGAGGGCAACAAAGTAAGACTCTGTCTCTATCAAAAAAAAAAAAAAAAGTCAGTAAGAAGAGCATCACAGTGAAAGGACTGAGAAGACGTGGGGCTGGGGGATGGAGTTGGGGAGGCATATTCCACACTTATTTTATCCTGAGAAGGCAGAACTAGAATCAAGTAATAAAGCAATAGGTATGACACCACAAATGGAAGACAATACCAATTCCCACAGCAAGTTACAGTGAGGTTACGGACCATGTGATGGAGGGGGGAAAGCAGCAAAAGTCTGCATTACAAGATGCAAAAGAAACTAAAAGACACCTGTCCTAACAATGTATCACACCAGAAACGAATACTTTATGATGAGATTTCCATAGTAGAATGATGGAGTAAGTGCCTGGGAGTGAACCAGCTTTGTAGCAAAGTTACCATATTTTAAGAGGCACTCTCAAGACACACTGGGGAATCTAGAAACAACTGTCTCGGCTCGGCACCTGTGGCTAAAGCAGCTAAGGCGCCAGCCACATACACCTGAGCTGGCAGGTTTGAATCCAGCCTGGGCCCGCCAAACAACAATGATGGCTGCAACCAAAAAAAAAAAAAAATTAGCCCACTGTGGCGGGCACCTATAGTCCCAGCTACTTGGGAGGCGGAGGCAGGAGACTCTACTGAGCCCAGGAGTTGCAGGTTGCTGGGAACTGTGATGCCACAGTACTCTACCCAGGGTGACAGCTTGAGGCTCTGTCTCAAAAAAAGAAAAGAAAAGAAACAACTATCTCAAATATCAAGAAGCTGGACATCAGGAAAAAACAAAAAATCAAAGACTTACACCACAAAAGTCACTAATACTAGATAAAAGGATTACCTATTGATAGATTTTCTTAAGATTCTGGTGCTTTTAACTATTTACCTTGCCAAAAGCCAAAGAACAAAGAGAAACTTTTAGAAACAGCCAACCAAGCCACTATAGCTCAACAGTGTAGGGGAATTATATTTGGGGAGGAGTGGTGGTGGTGGTGGTGGCAGAATAGATTTGTGGCCTCCAATAATTTCCATAAAAATATCGGCTAGATTGCTAGCTACCACCTAAAGTAAACAAGGAGAAATATGTCTATTTCTGTTGACTGGAAATGCTTTTGTTGCAAGTCCTAGTAAGTTCAACAAAACTGATTACCAGATTCCAGGATATTATCTTGCATATTGACACTGTTCTTGCGTTCTAGAGTTGCACTTTTAACACCTAAGCATAAATAAACTAAGAACATTTATATAGATATGGAATGAGTACTACCCACATATAATGCACATCCTTATTTTTCCCTAAAAAATTTGGGCAAAAATGTACACATTAGACACAGCAAAATACGGAAAATACGTTAAGTACACTAAGATTAGAACCATAACTAAGTTCCTAGAGTCTCTGACAATGACCAAGATTTCTGTTCTGGAATGGATTGATCATTCAGTTAGCTGAGGCTCTCAACATTAAGAAAATATGTTAAGTTAGAAGTTTAACATACGCCTGCAATTTCATTTCCTAGTATTAATCTTCTGGTACTTATTTTAACAGTATTGCCCCCAGAATCCGAACATCCCAAAACTTAAACTTGGAATCTAAACAAAAAATTTGAGCAAATTTTTGCCCAAAATCCAAACGCTGCTTTGGAATCCGAAAGGTCAGCACGTTGTTCCTGTGTTTTTGTGCTTCCGTTTCCCCAGCGCTCAGGCCTTCCACACGCTTTGTCATTCAGTTTGTTGTCAGAAGGTGTAGTGAAAGCATTTCATGTGACTGCTAATTTTTTGTGTGTTTTTTTTAATATAACAACTAAGTGTATTCGCCATGGGTCCTAAAGAGTGTAGTGAGCAAGAGTAAGAGGAAAGCTATGAGGACTACAATTGAAATTAAAACAGATCTCACTGCTAAGCATGAAAGCAGAACACATGTGGCTGGTCTCGCTAAGTTCGGGATGCTTCAATCAACTGTTTGTACAATTTTTTAAAATAAAGAAGCTATCAAAGCAGCTGATGTGGCGAAAAGGGCTTATGACATTGACCTCTAGGAGATCCTAAAATATGAAAGAGATAGAAAACCTCTTCTTAGTTTGGATTAATGAAAAACAACTGGCTGGTAATGTAATTTCTGAGATGATAATTTCCACGGTGATTTAGATAAAGGCATGCCTGATACCAGTGTCCTAAAGCCAGGAGGGGTGGTTCAATAACTTTAAGAAAAGGAGTGGGATTCACAGTTTTGGTATGCTGGGAGAGGCTGCCAGTTCTAATTCGGAAGCAGCAGAAAAGTCTGTAGAGGAGTTTTTAAGGAGTTTGTGAACAGTGAGGGGTATGTTTTGAACAAAGAGTTCAATTGTGACAAAACAGGCCTTATATTTTTAGGTTTTTATAATTTCAATTTTATTAATTTACATTTTGTTCAAATATTACTTGTTAATATTTTGCCTGAAAAATTCAATGTATTTACTGTTAAAATCATTTTGAAAACTCACGTTTGTGGGACCCAGAACAGATTAATCCAGTTTCTATTATTTTAAAGGGAAAAAATTGTCTTGGAACTTGAATCCGAACTTGAGTTCGGATTCCAAAGTACCACTGTACATGCTGGGGAGTCAGGGGTGAGAACACTCCTCCCACTTCCCCCACTCCTCCCAGCGGGCATACAGATCACTTTTATCTCTGTTCAATTCAAAGGTCTACTGTCAAATATTCTGACACTGAATAGCAAAGAAATGGTATTCTCATTTTGCTGTAGTTTGTTTTAATCCTTAGAATTCCCATTAAGAAGCATGCTATTTTGTTAAGACACATGACTCATTTTCATCTTTTCACCTTAAATTGTCCTATATATTCTATATGGCAAATGATGAACTTTGCAATCACTCCCCCATAGCTAACTGGAATATAGTTATCTTAAATTTCTTCTCAAGGCATTAATTTCTCATCAATTCAAGAAAACATTTCGCTCTATGATTCATCTTCAAAATGCAAGTTTTGTGTATATCTGCAAAATGCTAGTTTTCTGCTAAAAGAGTAGCCTAGCAAGGTGACAGCTATTTCCCTACAGATCACTATGATGCTTTTATACATTGTTGGCCTCTAGAGGGAGCTCAAAGTTTTCATTATTTTTCCCAAAGGTCAGGACACTTCTCCCACTTGTTTTAAGTTCATGATTAAAGAACTGTTTTATTACAGCTCCCTGAAGAGCAAGGTAAAAAATTGTCCTTTGGCAATTTCTTCCTCCTCAGGCGTGAAAAAGGATTGACCTGTGCACCTGCTTTTGGGGAGCAGACCCTGATCATTTCTTCCTCTCCCTCAACATACTCCTTCCCCACTTGGCACTGACCGCCACCCACTCCTGTAACCTGAGAGGCTGAAGAGAGGACAGAGAAATCGTGGAGGGGCAAATGCTCCCTCCCTCTCACTTCGCTGGTCACTTTTAGCACAGCAGGCTGGTGTGTCATAGGTACAGAGAAAGGAAGACAGAGCAGCTGCGTCTGCCCAGGCCTTCACTCAAAAGGCTGAGGGACCTTTTATCTCAGCACTCCTGAGATGCATTCTCAGGATGGCATCTATAAGAACTTTTGTACCAGGAAATGGCCTAAAGCGAAGACTGTCAAATCCTCACTTTACTAGCACCTGTATGACCTTGAGGAAGTACAGCCTCCCAAAGACTCAGTTTCCTCATTTTTAAATATCTGCCTCATAGAGTTGGTATGATGCCTGGTAAGCTGAAGTCTGCCAGTGACAATTTTTCTTACAGAAAGCAGTAATAAGCCTGTTTCTAGGCTACTCCAGTCAATCTCGGTTGGTAAAGCAGCTCTCCAAATGGTCCAGCTTAGCTCACTGGAGCCCAAGGCTAAAACTTTGCTGCCTCTCTGCCAGAACGTTCACAGGGCCTTGGTCAAGGACAGGATTCTACACTCCCATGCCTCTTGGCCAAAACACAGCCTCAACTTCATGATTTCCAACAGATTATGGAGAAATCTGCATGAAATAAAATTAGTGCCAATGGCCTTTAGGATTACTTTTCCTCAACCTCTGCCTCAGTGA